AGTATATTACAGAAATGGGTCTATTATGGTATGTTATAATGTACACGGTATGAAGTGATGCAAGGAGTTATCCTTTAATGACTACCCGGGACACTGGGCTCAGACACAGATTTGTCAAATGTGCATTCAGACAAAACATGTGTGATTGAGACTGGGGAGTAAAAGCCAAAGGCAGAAGACTCCAGACAACAAATCCTCACAATCCCACCTCAGCCCGCTCTCCCACCCACTGTTTACTTTGAGTGCTGATGGAACGATAAAAGGGGAGGTATCCCCGGGTCGTTGTAAACAAAAAGGGGAAATTTATATAAACTCTGTGAAATTTATCTCAGAGGACATTGCTTTGGATATTTTTAAAGATAAGACGTGAGTCAAAGCGTGGGATGAAACATTACGAAACACTATCATTTTATTAACGCAGCCCAGGTTTCAAGCAAGAGGACAGTTTTGCTTTGAGGAAACTGTGTTAATTTCTCTTTTGTTCTGAGTGGAGAGATTATATACTCTAGAGATGGTCGCTGGTAAGTTGGTAACAGCACAGTAATGTCAAGATTGAGGTTTAAACACAGCCTGCCGATTAAGGCTCTCTGCCAAGAGCAAAAACTGTGTGCTGGAGAGGTCTGCTGACTTGCTGCTAAACAACAAAACCGATTCAAAAACAAAAATACGGCTCTTACCTGATAAACGTGGTCCAACTTCAGCAAGACATGCGGGTCCTCTGACGAGTCATAGCATAGTGACAAAGCCGGACTAAGTCAGAAGGGAAAACACGAGAGGGGGAAAAAAAACAGCGAAGAGTCACTTCAGTAAACTTTTTTTGAACGCTGTTTCACTTTCAGGTACTGTCAGCGTTACTTTGACCTCGCCAGCTGCTGTCTCTGTTAAACCGAGGCTCACTTTATCGCATTTTTTCTGGTGTTTAATCCTCACCTGGTTTGATTCAGTCCCTTCCCAGCAAAAAGAAAAATAATGACAGATGAGCGCGAGCGGTTTGTCGGCACCAACAGGTGAAAGCACGCGGAGGAGGGCGACGACAGAGAAGGCGGATGCCGACTAATTAAAGTGTTAAGGCTAGCGGTAGTCACAAACCAGTATGCATACCTTTTTTCTCGACAGACCTCACACCCGGTTTCTGCGCTGTGGAGACCTCAGGGAGAGTTTCGTTCAAGTCTGGCACTGAAATGGGATTTCTATTCCGGGAACTGACCGGGTTTTCTCATTGTGGAGTGATCTGGGCATGCTGCCATACTCTGCGAAGAGACTACTTAAATACATTTGATGACATGCTCCTGTGGGAATAATATAATAATATACTGATACAGAAGAGGCTGAAACAACTGCACAGGCTCCAATTTAGTTCTGAGAAGCATGGTCGGATTAACTCCCTAGGGGGGGTGGCTAATTTTGTGACAGATTTGTCCAAATTTGTCACAAAATTCATGAAACAGCCAGTTTAATCTAATAATTTGTGCTTCTGAACAAAAGTTGTCCAAACTTGACCCCCATAGTTTCATTTAACTGAACACAAGTTTAATATCTATTGACTGGTGTCCAGGTATACAGGGTGAAGAATTTCCCCTTTTGAAGAGATTTTTTACACCCTCTTAATAAAACTACATGGTTGGGTTTTGTACATTTAAAAACCTCGGTATGATCTTGTGATACTTGGTTAGGTTCAGAAAAGAGGTCGTGGTTTGGGTAAAAATGCAACAGTTGCAGTTTTTTCTTTTGAAAGGTTTATTTTCTTGGTTGCCAGGGTGACACTAGACCACTGCAGCAGGCAAGAAATTTCATACTTGAGTACATTAGTCTCAAAGTTGTGCTTAATGTAATGAAAAATAAAAGTGGCAGTTTATGTGCATGTACACGAATAAACAGATTGCTTTTCCATTATTGTTTTGAGACTTTCTTGAACCTGCACACAGATAATAGATACTTCATGGGGTATGATAGCTAAGTAATTTTGCTTCATTTGATACATATTTCCAACAAATTAATCAAATTATTTAAACCCAAATCATAAGGAGGGGTCTCTGGTCATCTCTACATTTTGGTAGCCTACCCTTGCAGGGTAGGAAAGGAAGGCTTCGTTTTGTTATAATATAGAACAAAGACATAAAACCTCCATAAAGTGTCATCAGAAGCATGTCAACAGACCACAGGGTTCTACATGATCTCGTAAAAGTTATTCTTTTATTAAAGTTGATTAAAAACAGGGGCCTTGGGATGCCAATATGTTCACCAGATTTTGGAGTGTGTGGAACACAGGAATCATAAAACACTAACACATAAACAGTTTAAAACTACATGTTCACACTTTAAATTCCTAAAAAGGTTCCTGAAAATAGTCATACATATACAAATGATGACCATCAAGACACAAAGGCTCAAAAACTTAAGCTTGTGCTACAAAAAATAACCCATTGACCTAAATCACTGTGCATATGCAAAAACATATGTAGTACTGTAAGAGCATATCTATGTCTGCTTTCTGGCAGATTTCTACTCATCCTTGTAGAGACTGAAATACCATGAAATATTCAATCTCTGACATGTTACTGTGATACAGTATGCTACTTGGTGAGCAGAAAATGCTAAAACTCTAGTTACTTATAGAACATAAAATAGCACACTGAACTCTGGACCTACACACCACAAATTTACTTCCGCATGTTAAATAGTGACTTTTCCCAGAGGCAAAATCCACTCCTTTCACTCTGAGGGCTTTATCACCCTGACTGGCCTCTTTACACATCTTCTTGTGAATGAGCCGATAGTGTAATAGATTCTTTCCAGTGACATGTGGCTGTGTGAGAGAGAATGGGCAGCAGGTTAATAGTGACATAGTGTAAGTGGATTGAGAGGGAGCGGTTAAAAAAAAAAACACTGGCTGGCAGATGGGTGAGAAAGAGTGGGTGAAAGGACAGCTGGCACATTGATTCCTAGCAGTAAAAGAGCAAAGACAACATTTTACGTTGCAAAGTAACATATCTTCAGCCTGATGGCAACAATAGTCACATACACCTCCTGCTTTGAATAAAGAACAATGCAGGTGTCTGTCAGCGAGTACACGAGGTGCGGTGGAATAATAATAATGCTGTTTGTCTGGAAGGCAGACAGAGACAGCTGCTAGATGGTGCTTAACAGTGTTAACTTGCATGAAATAAAGCAACACCCAGCAAAAGCAAAGTTTTCTGTAACTTACATGTTTTCCTTTAATATTAGTAGGAACATCAGTAGGAATTGGATCCAATATACGTCAGACCAGTATAGTGTAACAGGACCATATTGGACTCTTATCATTAGATAGAACTCACTATTCCAGTATTGTTTCATTAACAAGTATTTGTTTGCTTAGTAAAATCAGAAAATTGTTCTATAAATAATAGGACTGCAACGATACACAAAAATCACGGTTCAGTTCGATACTTTGGTTTCACGGTTGGATATTTTTTCGATACAAAAAAATGTTCATGCCTTTTCAATTTGTCATTTATTAAAATTATAAATATATTTTAGCTCAAAAGTACAGTTTTTAAATTTAATGTTGCTGAAACAACAAAATAACAAAAAAAAATAAATCTATCTGATCGAGAAATCACTCATCTTTGGAAAAGAGCAGAGAAATGGGTCTTTCCAAAATAAAAGCTATACCATATGCTTCTTCTGGGCTATGTTCTCAGCAGCATATTAAACATATGAGGTCCCCATAAGGAGAATCACGTGCTAACGGCTGTCTAAATGACTCGGTAAAGTTTGTAACATGCGTGCTTGTTGTTTTTGTCTGCTTCCACTTGTCTTTGCACTAGGATGATGTCGGTGTAAATGTGCAGTCATATTCTTTGTGTTCCCACTAGTGCTGTCAGCGTTAATCTCGTTAAAATGACGTTAACACCATAATGCGGCAAATCTCCGTTAACAAGTTACCGCGGATCGCCCCGTGCGTGGGGCTGGACGGCAACACGTTAACACGTTAACAAGCTAACTGCACTAACGCACTAGTTTCCACCAATTGCGCACTACTTCCCACCAATTGCGCATTGCGTGGCACATCCGATATACTGTTTTGCTTTTGTCCATGACGCGCTACCATCAGGGTCATGCTTCACATGAAAACCAAGATAGTCCCAAAGGCCAGATCTGAATGAGGGTGGGGGAGGTTCAATTTCGGCTAGCGTTGAGGCAGTTGCCATGTTGCAACGAGCTTAGCTTCTGTCTTGCTAGCTTGCGCTGCGCTGAGTGGATCTGCACTCGACAGTGCAGCCTAGGCGGAGTAGTCGAACGCAGATCCACTGAACGCTCAACACAGACAGCATCGTCAGAAGAAAAGTTGATAAAATAAATAAAGAAAATTGTATTGTTCGATACATATGCGTACCGAACCGAAAGCACTGTATCAAACGGTTCAATATCGATACGAGTATTGTTGCACCCCTAATAAATAATAATCCATTTGCTGTTTAGATTTTTCAGTTTCCTGCTGATAGGAGTGCACTGTTGTCCTCATGTTTTAGACCTGTGCAATTCACTGTGTAAAACCAAAGAACATATAGTAACTTATCTGGATGCTTATTTTGAAGCACTGGTTTAAATTCATCTTAATGTCATTAATCACCATGAAAACTATACAAAAGTGGCAGTTTAACTTCTTTTAGATTTAACTTGAGTGCCATGTCTCCTCTTCTTATACCTCTATATGTCTCTGGTTCAACTCATCAGATAGTTTTTACTGTGTTAGTAACAGGCTACTATAGCATTTAATCTGGATTGATGGCACAACCTTAAACATCACACATGCTTCATAATTCTATATCAGTGCATCTTGTTTAGGTTATCTCTTTGTAAACAGACATGATTCTGCATGATTCTGCAGAATCATGCTGGACTAGAAATAGTGCTCTTTGGGATATTATTGTTGTATTATTAAGAAAAGTTTAAGGGCTATTCATGTGATTTAATTGCACTTACATAATGTAGAGGTATTTAAAAATGGTCAGACACACATTTTAAGTATTTATTCCCTGCAGATGTGACTAAATTTTCCATAATGCTACTCAAAGCATGTATAATGTTGTATACAAGAGACTTGGGAAACATGGTAGATTCCAATTGTTCATTTTACCAGGATGGTTGTGTCTTTTTTTTAGCAGGCTAATTGAGAATACAAATACAGTAGAACACAATTTTCATTTATCTTGAACTCTGTTTTGTTTAATGACGGTCTTTGAGTATGGAGCATTCGTATGTTTTTCAGACTACTGGAGATTAAAAGTGCCAAACCACTTAGAAATGCCAGATGTATCAACAATAATGATTCATCTTCACAAATAATCTGTTAATTGTGGAAGTTCCTCAAACAAGTGCGGGCACTTGAAAACAAACATTTTGACTCAGGCCCCCAGAGGCTCAGGATCAATCCTCAGATGATCACACAGCTAACTCCCACATGTAGAAGTTTCTGTGACTGAGTCAGAGGGCAGCACGCCCAAACAAACCTGTCTTGCGGGCTGATGATCTGTTAACTATGAGAACAGCTTGCACAGTCATTGGAAAATCTGGAAGCAGTTCTGAATCCTGGCATGAGCTCACGTTTTTGTACCTTCCTTTGATCATAAGAAACATAAAAAAAAAAATCAAATTCCTGTTGGACATCTAAAGGAACTTATGAGATCACAAACAGATTGCAATGGCACATTGTGCAAGGAAAACTTGCCTTTATTGATTGTGAATGCAAATAGTGTAGTTTTAGTTCCCTGCTATGCAAAAAAGCCATTGCCTACACAAGACTGAAAGAGTGTGTGTGCATGCCTGCGTATCCTTGGCTAGGGGAGACCGGAACCACTGAAAAGGCCATGTGGAAGAACTCATTTGTCCCAGTTAAGCATTCATGAATACTAAATCAAACCTTGAATGGAACATTCCTACCCCAGTTTTCCTGCTCATAAATTTCCTTCCCAATTCACAATAACACATCTGAATGAACTACTTACATAAAAATGTAAACAACTTTACACCATTAACAAAGTATACTATTACCGTTTTTAAAATGCATTCATAAGCAGCTAAAATAAACATAAATATACATTTTTTAAATATACTGTAAGTAGCTTAACAAAAAATGATCACAACAGTTCAAAAATTAACTTTTACATTTACACAGGGAACCACAATAGAGCACTCTATGATAAGCAATTTTGATTAAAATGTAAATATCAGTAATTTTGTGGTGGTGCTCAGGACTTTAGTAGAAGCCTTTTTCATCCATTCAAATGCTGTGCACTCCACAAACTAGATTAGCAGGCACTGAAATATCTGCAAAAGTAGATGGAAAATGTGTTTTTAGTAAATGTGACATTTGATGTAGCCAAACCAGTGCAAAAACATCTTCTTTAGGACATGACTTAAGAATTGTGTTTACTAGCAGACAGAGGTGGTTGTTGGCTGAAATTCTGATGCCACTGTCTTTCATACCTATTTTTTTAGGCTTAGGGAGGTTCAGGTTGTTCATGATCTCCACAAACTCCTCCATGCTCTTAGTCAAGCGTGGGTTATACTTGCGCTCCTCGCCCACTGTAGAAACCGTCTGACCTAAAACGCAAAATTAGATGCAGACCAGCATGACAGTTTTAGTTTTTGTACGGTAGTTCTAAATTCTGCCAGATGTTAAATCTGAACAATTAAAAATATTTACAAAGAAACAACATGCTTCTGACACACAACACATGCACTGTAAAAACAATATATATACTACATCTGTACCAATTCCTATGAGTGGGAAACTAATGGCCGATGTGGCTGAGCTTCAAATCTGTGCTGTTTGAAATTATTCACATCAGTGACTCTTAAGATACGCAATACACATTTACAAACATTTGCGTGTGAATGTGTGTTTTTAGCCAACCTAAGTAATCATGTGCTGGGTAGATGAGGCACTCATCAGGCAGGGTGAAGATCTTCTCATGGACTGAATGGTAGAGCTTTTTGGCACAACCTTTAGAAGAATAGGTATAAATCAGACAATTGCAATGGAAAACATATGAAACACTGCCCCCTTGTGTTCATTTAGAAGAACCACAAAAGAGTGCATGCATACCCTGCTGGAAGTCTGTCCTTCCACAGCCTCTAATGAGGAGAGCGTCACCAGTGAAAGCCATGCTCTGATCCCCAGTTACCAGGGTTATACACCCATCAGTGTGTCCTGGTGTCTCTTTCACAGTCAGAGACTAAAGAAGAGAAAAGACAAGTGTCATGTTAAATCAGTTTTATCAAGCAAACAAAACCAAACAGGTATCAAATCAAAGCATGTCAAATCAGTTTTATCAAGCAACTGTATACAACACCTACAAACACTATTATAAACAAAGAGTGGTTTTCTTCTTACGTGTCTTCCAAAGGGGATATTGTCTCCCTCTGTTAAGTGGATGTCAGCAGTGGCACCACTGAACTTGGAGATGGCACTCTTCAGTCCAGCCACTCTTTGCTTCATCAGGCCAGTGCTTGTTATGTGGTCTGCGTGGCAGTGGGTGTTAACTACCAGAAAAATCACTGCATTTATCACCAATTGAAAGATTTAATATTGATTCTTGGTATAAACTTATGCAATGTGTATATAGGCGAGACAGTCAATGTCCAGTTTATTAAGTACACTGGTTTCATCGCTCGTTATCGCTAATACCCAAGCAGCCAATCACATGGCAGAAAATTAATGTGTTTCGATATCTAGTCATATTCAAGCCAACTTACTGGAATTCAGACTGAGCATCACAGTGACGACCAAAGGTGATTTAGGTGACTTTGAATGCAATACGGTTGATCGTGTCACATGGGCTTGTCCACCACTCATTACAACCAAGTTATGTGGAAGATGTGGTGGAGATCATGGATGTACCGCTGACAAATCTGCAGCAACTGCGTGATCTTATCATGTAAATACAGATTAACATCTCTGAGGTATGTTTTCAGCACCTTGTTGAATCTATCCCATGAAGAATTAAGGCAGTTCTGAAAGCTAAAAGGATTCAGACATAGTACTAGCAATGTGTATCTAATAAACTGTCCAGTCAGTGTATGCTTTAAATTCGGCCTTTTTTAATTATTATTTTTAGACATGTCCCCGCAGCCTTGTCTGCTATTGTCTACACTAAACAACGGTCACGGGGCAAGGAACGGACACACAGTTATGTCTTTCTCACTGCCATACAGATTAGTCTAATATTACATTTATGTTGCCCCTAATGTAAATGTATTTACAACATGGAGAAGATAGGACAAACATTTCATACAACTGTCATAATTTATCGTTTAACTCTACCCTGGGAAGGTAGATACCTGCCACTGTTAGACTGAGTCCAAGTTCCTTTATGAGCTTCAGGTCCCGGTCAATGGTCTCCAGCACAGGTTCAATGATGACAGCCTCCTTGGTGTTCGTGTCTGCAAGCAGGTAGGTGTACGTGCTGCTCTCTGACTCAAACAGCTAAATGAAAAAGAAAACAGAACAGTGAACAAAGCACAGGTGTGATTCAGCAATAAATAATAACAGGAAAGGCACAGTAAACATCGTGTCCTCACCATACTTAGACAGGGTGTGTCTGACACAACAAAAGATAATAAGAGACAGAACAGATCACGGTATGAACTACAGTCAACAGTCACTTTATTAGGTATATCTTGCTAGTAACACCCCCTTTTGGCTTAAAAACTGCCTGAATCCTTTCTGGCATAGACTCAATAAGGTGTTAGAGATATATTGCACCACACTGACATGATATCATCACATAATTACTGCAGATTTGTTGGCTGCACATCTGAGATTCGAATCTCCTATCCCAAAGGTGCTCTACTGCATTGACATCTGGTGACTATGGAGTTTACCTGAGTACAGTAAGCTGATTTTCATGTTCAAGAAACCAGTTTAAGATGATATGAACTTTGTGACATGCAGCGTTATCCTGCTGAAGGCAACCATCCAAGTATGGGTATGCTGTCGTCAAAGATGGATGGATAATGATCAGCAACATAACTCAGGTAGGCTGTGGTGTTTAACAAATTCTTTTAATTGATGGTTTTGTAGGGCAATCCATTTAAATCAGCCGTTTCTGTAACTTTTACATAAGCTTGTCTGCCACATTTAAAGACACTTAAATCACCTTTCTTCCACATTTTAATGCTCGGTTTTAACTTAAGCAGGTCATCTTGACGATCTACATACCTAAATGCACTGAGCTGCTGCCATGTGATTAGCCGATTAGATATTTGTGTTTGTTCAACAAGCAGTCCTCCGTATAGGGTCTGGTGAGTATCTCAGTAATCAATGCAAAATGTTTACTTCTTAAACATTTACCAAGTTACCCATTAATTCTGCGTTTATGACCAGTTGGCGACAGAATCACTTACTGATATACTTCCTCATTGTGATGTGTCTGGGCATATCACACAACAACTTGAACAATTGTTAAACAAGCAGGAGTTTTCTTTCTTGAAATGCCTTTTTTAAAAGATGGCATGTGATCAATTTATCAGCTGGTTTCAAATATTAGGATAAAAAAAATGTAGGGTCATATGACACAGCAATTTCCATCACATGATGCATGCACATGAGGTATACTTCATTAAGCATTCCCATGCAAAGCTACTTTTTTGAAGACACATACTTTGCTGTTTTGCAGATATAGGTAGTAGTAATAGTGTAGCTATATGAATCATAAACCTGCTACTAATTTTTGTCACTTACAGATTAAGAGCAGTTTATAAAGTCATTCAGATATCACACTGCTTCAAAGCAGGACCAGAAACAGTAACATAAAGCAATAGTAAATGTGGTTTTTAAAGGGGTCATTAAGTGATTTATATATCTCATGTATACTTTACACTGTAGCTGCGCTACTTTTATTTAAGTACATCTAACGCATTTCGTTTAGCAATTATGAAAAAGAAACTTCAAAACTTTTGGGACTTTTGCTCAGCCGTCATTTCCTTGTAATACCACTTTTATCAGGATGCAGGACACCACACAAGAGTCTGAAAATCCAAAATTTGTTTGACAGCTGAGCACAAAAACCCACCTGAACTTTAAAGGAACTAATGCAGAAAGGAACTTCATAGACAGAAAACAAGATGCTAACGGCTAAAGCTACCGAGCTCACTTCCCACAACCGGTGGTACAAAAAAACTACAAGTACTCTTGCCTCTTCGTTACCACGTATGGTTGTAAACAAACAGGAGCAAGCCATCAAAATATGCCGACAGACTACCTGTCTGAAGAGGAGCCCTTCCGTCTTTGCCATCCTGGCTCAGTGCGATCTGCTGGTAACCCGTAGCGTCTGAAAAACAGTGCTTCAACCGGGACAGACGCATCTGTTTTGTTTCCGAGTCCCCTGCATTTGTCCTGAGTCGTCCCAGGAATGTCAACAAGCCACACCCAACAACAATCGTGATCAGTGACCACACCCACCTACCTACTTACCTACTTCCCTAACATTGGCTGGTTTCGATATGGGCGACATGGGCCATTGCCCAAGCGTGGTGGGGGCGGCATCATAGCATCCGAAAAAAAAGTTGCTCGCACCCACGCTGCCCCGACATTATGTCAGCGCATTTTGGGGATTGCATGGGCACCGATCGGTCTTGCATTGCCCATTTGCGACGAGGTGCCCTCCATTTACGAGGTGCGGCTGCTGCCAGCTGCACAGGAAGGAGAGGGGCGGGACGGCGGGAGGAAGCCGGAGTACCCGGAGAGAACCCACGCAAACACGGGGAGAACATGCAAACTCCACACAGAAAGACCCCGGCCTGATGGTGGAATTGAACTCAGGACCTCTTGCTGTGCGGCAACAGTGCTAACCACCGTGCCACCGTGCTGCCCTGAAATAATATTAATAATAATAATTAAATGGATTTTATTTTAAAAGACTTTAACAGACCCTGTTAATAGTATAGACACAATAGTAGTCATAACAGGAACCAGTAAGGTAGCCACGGAATAGTTCATTAAATCCAGAAAGTCCAAGAGAGTCGTTTTCTTTTAGTATTGTAGATATGTGTGCCTATCAGCAAGTTTGCATGAAAGAGACTCTAAAACATTTGTTGAAGGCTGATTTTAATATTTATGTGATTTTATTTTAAAGGTCTATAAAATGTGGTGCCATTTACACAATAACAACTTTGTTTTAAAACTCCTTCACACACACCCATTGGATGAGCCATCATGAGCATTAAACTGAGAAAGTGTGGCATCACCACATATCTGTGGGGAACGGTTGCTATGAAAAACAAAATGATAGTAACTAAAAAATAACATTAATATAGTTTTTTTTCCTAAATTACTTAATGATTGGAATCCAACTGAAATACATGAAAAAGTACACCATCTTTCAATTCTAAGCTTTTACATATCACGTTATAACTATCTGATCTCTAACAGTTCATGAAAGTAGATGAAATATAACCTCAGATGATCAACACAACACGACTATTATTCAGTGTCATTATTTATTTAACAGAATCTAAACCAAGTTACAAAGTTTTTATAGTAAGCTTTTATGTCCTGCTATGCAAAAAAGCCTTTTCCTGCACAGAAGCTTTCATGATTACTAACCTAACCTTGAGGAGAATGTTCGTATATGAACTTTCCTGCTCATAAGTAATTCATAACAAATCATCTGAAAAATTTGCTTACATTCAAGAAACTTTTTCTTACATAGATACATTTAAAATGTATTGAAATAGCAATTCAAGTATATACCTTATATATATACCATACAGAATCATTAAAAATCACTTTATAGTAAACATTTTGACCAATGTCCCACAAAATAGAGATGCAAATGTTAATTACTCTACAATTATTACAATTATGTGTTTTCATTATTATCCTCTTGTGGAGCACATTCAGTCCACACATTTAGTCTTGCAGTCCACAAACCAGATTAGCAGGCACTGCAGTTGCTGCAAAAAATAAATAAATAAATAAATAAAGTGCTTTTTACTGGAAAACATAGTTGGTTGCAGAACTGTAAATATGATAGTTTTTTTTTTTTCTTACCCATTTTTTTGGGATTGGGCAGGTTCAGGTTGTTCATGATATCTGCAAACTCCTCCATGGTCTTTGTTAGGCGTGGATTAAACTTGCGCTCCTCGCCGACTGACGAAGCCATCCGACCTGAAACACAAAACAGATGGAGACCAGTGTATCAGCCAGATGCTACACCCTGGACATGTTTCCAGTCCATTTCAGAGCTAGAAAAAATGGAGCCGGCGCACAACAACTGCCCTGTAAAAACCTAAAAACAGAACATACTATACAGATTGCAGAGCACCTGTACCGACTCCTGTCAGCAGAAAACTAATGAATTTAATTTTGCTATGCTTTTATATATGATGTAATGCATACTGCTACACAATAGTACTATATAAACCATTCCCTTCAGTGACTTTGTAACATGTATAAATATTTGGGGATGTGTTTTCAGCCAACCTAAGTAGTCATGTGCTGGGTAGAGGAGGCACTCATCAGGCAGGGTGAAGATCTTCTCATGGACTGACTTGTAAAGCCTTTTGGCACAACCTTAAGAAAATAAGGCAAAGGTTAGACAACTGCAAAGGAAAACTGATACTGTACTCCCCCCTTTTCCAACAAGAATAAAAATCATAGAAACGCAAAATGAACAAAAACACAAGCATAAAGCCAAAAGAGTATGTGTACCCTGCTGGAAGTCTGTCCTGCCACAGCCTCTAATGAGGAGAGCATCACCAGTGAAAGCCATAGTCTGATCCCCAGTTACCAGCGTTATACACCCATCAGTGTGTCCTGGTGTCTCTCTCACAGTCAGGCACTAAAGGAAGGAAAAGAAGAATGTCAAGGCATGATAATTAAATAGGTTTTATCAAGCAAATGCAACAAAAGCTTTTAGGTATTTACAAAATAACTGTACGCACACGATATTGCAAACAAATAATGTTTTTTTCTTCTTACGTGTCTTCCAAAGGGGATCTTGTCTCCCTCTGTTAAGTGGATATCAGCAGATGCACCACTAAGTTTGGAAATGGCACTCTTCAGTCCAGGTACTCTTTTCTTCATTGGTCCTGTGCTTGTTATGTGGTCTGCATGGCAGTGGGTGTTAACTATCAGCAAAATAAAGATAATGTGGGTCAATATAAAGCTGGAATATAATTGAGACTTGTGGTACACCCTCCAATCAGTTTAGCGAGTAGGGGGTTGGACACTTTTTTCCTTTTCAGAACACCTTTGATTCCTCGTCACACAGATTCAACTAAGTGTTAGAGATTTTGGTCCATGTAGCATGTAGGCATGACAACATCCCACTGTTACTGCAGATTTGTCAGCTACACATCCATGACGCTAATCTCCCTTTCACCACAGTCTATTGAATTAAGGCTGTGTGACTCTGGAGGCCATTTGAGTACAGAAACCAGACTTTGTGACTTGCATTATTATGGTGATTGAAGCAGCCATCAGAAAATAGGTACACTGTGATCACAAAAAGATCGACATCAGTAACTCAGGTAGGCTGTGGGGTATAAACGATGCTTAGTTGGTAGTAACGGGCCGAAAGTGTGTCAAGAAAATATCACCCACACTACTATACCACCATCACCAGCAGCCTGAACTTTTAATAACAGGTCGTTTCATAATAATAATAATAATAGGTCGTTTGATTCATGTCGTTTATGACGAATCCTGAACTAAACACTCAAATGCCACAGCAAGGTTTGTTCCAGTTGTCCAATTTTGGTGCAAATTATAGTCTTGGTTTATGTTCTTAGCTGACAGGACTGGCACACAGTGTGCTCGTCTGCTGCCGAAGCCCATATGCGTCAAGTTTCTTTGAATCACCTTTCCCCTTTTCTGATGCTTGGACTGAACTTCAGGAGGATATCTTAATGATGTCTACATGCGTAAATGCACTGTTTTTAAATATGTGCATTAAATAGGTGTATCCAATGAAGTGGCTGGTAAGTGTATTTCCAATTCGGAAAGATATATGTATTACACTAGCAGGAGTCCTTTCATACAAATAGCATTACCTACACTTAACAACGTTTTTGGGTCATAAATAAACAATCATTTCTGAACCAGGTAAAATATTTATGCTGCTCCTAATTTGTATTTACAGGCTGAGAAAGATGGGATTCTGCGTTAATTTATGTAGTTACCTGCCACTGTCAGTTTGAGTCCAAGTTCGCTTACGAATTTCAGGTCCCTGTCAATGGTCTCCAGCACAGGATCAATGATGACAGCCTCCTTGGTGTCTGCGTCTGCCAGCAGGTAGGTATATGTGGAGCTCTCAGACTCAAACAGCTAAATGTTGGAGGGGAAGCACAAAGCAGCAAACAGCAATAACTAACAGTAAATGGGAGCGGTAGTAAAGGTTACATTATTATCATTTCTCCTCACTTGTGTTTATAGATAACGTGTGCTTTGTGTGTCTACGGTAGCCAAAGAGAGACATTTTCGTACGAAGCTTGAAATAAAGTATTGCACTTTGTACTCCACCACATTTATTCAGAAGCTATTAGCATTAGTTATATGGCAGGGATATAAATTATTAATCAACAAATAATTTCTATTTTAGATTAAGATGCAGAGCATCAAGTAATTCAGATTTGTTCTTTCATCAACTTAAAAGTAATATCAAACATATTAACAATATGATATGGATCTCTGAAGTGGGTAATTTGAGCAGGTTTTCTTTCACTTAAGGTACTTTATAGTGATGCTATTGCTTTTTAGACAAACAAACTTTTTATATTTTGTTTTCTGCACTCCTACTTCCACTTTAGTAGAATATATAAACACATCTTCCACCATTATGTAAACTGGTTAATCTAAACTCAACAATTTTGAACAATATTTCTTTTTTCAGGACAGATCGTTTTAAACAAGTGCAGAACATCCAAATATGATGTGAACATACCTGTCTGAAGAGGAGTCCCTTTACCATTGCCATCCTTGCACAGTATCAGCAGCTGGTAACCGGCAGCGTTTTAATCGGGACAGAAACACAAACTCTGGGTTGCTGTGTAAAGCATGACTATTTAAAACCCTAACCACACCTACCTGCCTACCTACATACCTGCCTACCTGCCTTGGTAACGCCCCCAAATTAGAATAATTTTCAGAAGTCATCATGATAAAAAGGAAGAACATCACGTACTGCACACTATCTTTATGATCATCATCAATAAAATTATTGTTAATAATATTACTGATAATAAGATGAAGAAGAATTTAAACACTTTTAAGTGTTTTACTTTTATAAAAGTTAGACTTAGAGACGTATCTTTGCTGTTACAGCTTTTTCCCCATATACATTTTTCAGTCACACTTCTCCTTATAATGGCTCTCTAATTAAACTAATTTTAATGCAAAGTCACTCAAGGTCACAGACCACTGCGGCTCGCCGTTTTATTGGGAACAACCACAACCATCCATTTAATAATGCTCGTATCAGTACATCTTGTTTTTTTTTAGCTATTCACTGATTGTGAACTTGACCACAAATAGCATGCTCTGGGTCAAGCAGAGATAATGTGACTTTTATTTTAGATTACACAGACACAATACTGAATCCTAGATTTTACAATATGCTACTCAAAAGCACGTGCAATGTTGCATTCAAGACACTTTGAATGTACAGTAGAGAGAGGCGTTTACTGAGCAGGCTGTTTGAGGATTGAAATACAGCTCTACACCATGTTCATTCAACTTGGAATTTATTTAATGACAGTCTTTGGTGAACATGAGACATCCATATCCACTCAGGTTTTCAGGCTCAAACCATCATCACGACAGGGCTTCATCCATAGCAGCCAAAGACATAAAAAGTCTGAGTTAACCTGGCAGGTAGTGTTCCCCCATGAGGAGAGAACCAGAACACATGCAACTCATGCGGTGGTCTTTTAATCACAGGCAATAGTAAAAAGTTATATTCACATGAAATCACTTGCTTATGAACATTTTGATTCTGGCCTCCAAAAACCTCAGGCTCAAATTGTCACACAGCTGCAAGTTTGTGTGGCTGAGTCAAAGGGAAGCACTCTAAAACAAACCCGTCTTACTGGCTGAGGATCTGTTAAATACAAGAACAGCATGCATGGGTCACTGCAGTCTGATTCTTTCTTTTAGAGCTAGAGAGTAAATAATAATCATCATTTTCAACATATAAAAGGAACATGTGAGCTCATAATGCTATGACATGTTGTGCAGTAACATCTTAGCTGTTATTGATTTTAAATGCAAACAGCATAAGTTTTATTTTCCTGCTATTAAAAGAGGCCACTGCTTGTGGTACTGTGAGTGTGTGAGGCCTTGACTACACGACACAATTGTACCTTTTAAGCATTCACAAATACTAAACTGAACCTTCAGTGTAACAATCCTATCCAAGCTTTCCTCTTCCTCCCCAAATTTACACATAATAACAAATCTGAATAAGGTCAACTTACTTTTAACTTTACACAGTTAACAAAGGGTACCATTACTGTTCTTTCCTCAAACACAGATATTAATTACTTTGAATATCCAAAATAGAAGCAGATTTATTCCAAGTACAATTGATCAGTAGCTGCACTATAAATGATAACAGCAATTAAAATATACCATTTAGATTTAGACACAGAACCACAATAAAGCACTTTATGGCAAGTAGTTTGATTAATTCTGCTAAACAGACACAGAATGTCTATCACTGGGCAATGATGTCATTAGTATCGTCTTTCGTGCAGAACATTCAAACATGGTGCAGTCCACAAACCAGATTGGCAGGCACTGAAATATCTGCAACAGAACAAGGAAAAAATGTTTATAGTAAATGTGACGCCCAGCACGCAAAACCTGTGGTGACGTCTCATAGGCACGAGAACTAGAAATGTGGAGATGACATGGATAGTGAAAGGCTGTAGATACTATTGTTAAATACCTATTTTTTTAGGCTTAGGGAGGTTCAGGTTGTTCATGATCTTCACAAACTCCTCCATGCTCTTAGTCAAGCGTGGGTTAAACTTGCGCTCCTCGCCCACTGTAGAAACCGTCTGACCTGAAACGCAAAAACAGATGCAGACCAGTGTGACATCTTTAGTCTTCGTGGTCCTGATTTTTGTCACATGTTAAATCTGGTCAATGAAAACATTTATACAGAAACATGCTTCTAACAACACAAAATATGCACTATAAAAACAACATGTATACAACATCTGTTCCAGCTCCCATTAGTGGGAAATTAATAGCTTTACATTTTCAGTGCTTTTAAGCACAAGCTGAAAATCTGTATTACATAAAAACATTCACACTAATGACTCTATAAAATACATAAATGTGTGTCTGCATGTGTTTCAGCCAACCTAAGTAGTCATGTGCTGGGTAGATGAGGCAGTGGTCAGGCAGGGTGTAGATTTTCTCCTGGATTGACTGGTAGAGCCTTTTGGCACAACCTTAAGAAATGAGAGAAAACTTAGAAAACTGCTAAAGGCAATGGCTGTAATACTGCCCCCTTGTGTTCATACAGAAACACTACAAATGAAAATGAACAAAAACAAGCATAAAGCCAAAAGAGCATGCATACCCTGCTGGAAGTCTGTCCTGCCACAGCCTCTAATGAGAAGAGCGTCACCAGTGAAAGCCATGCTCTGATCCCCAGTTACCAGCGTTATACACCCATCAGTGTGTCCTGGTGTCTCTCTCACAGTCAGAGACTAAAGAAGAGAAAAGACAAGTGTCATGTTAAATTAGTTTTATCAAGCAAACATAACCAAACAGGTATGCAACACTTACAAACACTCCATCATAAAAAAAGAACTTTTTTTCGCCATACGTGTCTTCCAAAGGGGATCTTGTCTCCCTCTTTTAGGTGGATATCAGCAGATGCACCACTGAATTTGGAGATGGCACTCTTCAGTCCGGCAAGTCTTTTCTTCATCAGGCCAGTACTTGTTATGTGGTCTGCATGGCAGTGGGTGTTAACTTAAAAAAATAAAAAGAAAGTTTGAATGCGAGTCAAGATTACTGTATATTTTAATCTGCATATAAGAAGAGTCAGTGGAACACAGATCACTGCAAAATCATTTCATAATATTTACTCTTAGGTATTATTATGATATAATATAATATATACATACATACGTGCATGTATATATGTATGTATATAAATACACATTAACGTATATTGGCTCAGGGACAGAGACTCAATTTCAATTTCCCCCAGAAAACAGACGTTTAAAGAGGGAAACAAGTCCAGTACTATATTTATTTTGGCCCCAAGGGTAATAATGAAGTATGTTTTCATAAAGTTCATTCAAGCTTTAAGTAGGGCTGATCTGAAAATGCATCTTAGTGTCAGGGTTAGGAAGATGGAGCTTAATTTCATCAGCTGGTTGTATATTTATTTAAAGTAACCCTGCCACTGTCAGTTTGAGTCCAAGTTCGCTTACGAATTTCAGGTCCCTGTCAATGGTCTCCAGCACAGGATCAATGATGACAGCCTCCTTGGTGTCTGCGTCTGCCAGCAGGTAGGTGTACGTGCTGCTCTCCACTTCAAACAACTAAAGGGGGGAGGAGGGAAAAAAAGGTGAGTACACAGGTGTGACTCAGTAATAAATAAAAACAATAGCGCAAGGGTAACAAGGGTTACACACTCATTCATAGACAATGTTTGTAAGAGACCAAAAAACTGAAAGAAAGAACAGATTATAATATAGGGCAACTTGTTATCATATAAAAACATCCTTATCAACTGTGTCAGGAAGCATTCAGGGGTCATACAAATGCCCCTGAAAGATTAGCTGTCCTGAAAGATTAGCTGTCAAGTTTTAGTATCCGAAACAAAACTGCGCATAGATCAACTTAAAGGGTTGTTTGACTCGAAAATGATCCACATAATTCATCCAACAACCTAACTTGGTTGCGCATTAAAATAACTAAAATTAAATGCTCCTTATCAGAAATATAACAATGAGCTAAATGCTAACTCACTTCCTACTTAACGCCGTAAAGACGGTTGCAAAAAATCCTAAAGAAAATGTCGTTTTCTTCCTGAAGGCAGGAGGATCCAAACGGGCGCAAAGTGCAAAATGGCAAGGTATAATCATCTATAACCTACCTGTCTGAAGAGGAGTCCATCCGTCGTTGCTATCCTGGCGCAGTAGGATCTGCTGGTTACCCATAGCGGCTGAGCTCCAGTGATAAAGCCGGGGCAGAAGCGCCTGCTCTGGGCTGCCGCGTAATTCAAGCCGTCAGCGTTTGTCCTGAGCCGTAGCGTCGAAGCCAGGGCCCGCTGAACGGGCTTCACTCTGCTTATTACCGAACACATAGTCGCCGATGTGTCCTGATTTGAACCTCTTGATAGCGGGCAACACTGCCGCACGTACGCGTAGGTTCCGCAAAGAGAGACCGTGGGTAGTAGCACTATGAACTCTGTGTTACCTGCCGCTTATCACGCTGACTGTCAATCAGTCCTTGGAAAAAACAACACAAGGACTTCAGTGTCGTTTGGAAGCTCCACTGTCACCAGCTGCTTTTACGGGCTGGAGCCGTGCCAACTTGTTTCTTATTAAGCGGTAAATATGGGTTTATGGGTAAGTGAAGCTGCCGGCTAACTTCCTGCACAGCTGAGTACCGTCTTCGCCGTCCTCAGTGAGACGCATGCGCCCTGGAATGAGGGGCCTGGCAATGTACACAACAACGTAGCAGCGGCCTACGTGACATTTACGCTGTCAGGCAAGTAAACATCGTCCAAACACAACCTTGTATAAAACGCTCAGTCATCCGCTTTAGTGGAGTAATACGGATGGAAAACAAACAACCAAATAAAAGCTTTGTGATGAGCTACATGAAAACAGTATTTGCTCCCTTTGTCGTTTTTTTTTAAGTCTAACTTGCATGTTTCAGATCCTCAAACAAATTTTGATACTAAGACCATGCAAGTAAATACAAAATGCATGTTTAACTGATGATTTCATTGGCAGCAAGAAATGCAATCAAGCGTTTATGATAACTGGAAATGACTCTTTTATATCACCATAGAGGAGTTTTGGCCCTCTCTTTAAAGAATTGCTGCAGAAAGTGCTTAAGCATGAAGGGCTGGTTCAAAGTCATATCAAAGCATCAAAGTCCAGACAGTGACTAGGCCAATCAGACTTGCTGTTTCCGATTATTGCCCGATCATAATTCAAATGCCTTTGATCTTCAGGGCACGAAATGATTCCTTTAGGATCTTTTGGGAAAGAGCAGAATTCATTGTTCATGAATACTGGAAGTTCTCCAGGTGCTAAAGTAGTAAAACAGTCCCATATCATCAAGCTACCACCACCACCACCACCACGTATGACTGTTGCTATGATGTTGTTTTTATGAAATGGTGTTGAGGTTTCTGTCAGATGTAATGGGATTTGAACCTTCCAAAAACTCCAAATTTGTCTCAACGGTTGACAGAACATTTTCACAAAAGTCTTGGAGATATTCAAGATGTTTTTTGGGAGGGTTTTTGGTCAGCTGTGGTTTTTGCCTCGGAACTCTTTTTCCCACTTGATGAACGATCAATCATTGACCTTAACTGAGGCAAGCTCCTGAACTCCCGAACGAGCTGCTGATGTACTTTTGGATTAATTTTGGCAAGTAGTTGGCTACATATGGCCCATAGACTCTAATGAGTTTGCGACTCCTGTTATAAGGCCACTGAACACACTTAAAGAGTGTGAGAAACCCATTGAAAACATAATATAGGTTTTCAAAACTTAATTAATATTCATTTGTTTTGAAATAATGAATAATTGGTTTTATTTATAATATCTTGTTCATCTAGTCTTACTAGTCATACTAGTATTTAGTACTAATATTTATTTTATACAATCAAAGGAAAAATATCAGAAACTGCTTGGTTCCACAGTTTATCAGTACTTCAAATTTAGCTAACATAGGTTATCAGGTCATTTTCATCTAGTGTACCTTGAACCTGTCAAGTCACAGTAATCTATACACCAGCACTTAAATTGGCGCACTTAGACACTAAAGAGGCGCCATGCGCTGTAATAACTGTTAAAATTTGTGGTCAGCAGCCGCGATCAGACAGGAATACAATCCCATTTTCACTTTGATTTATTTGTTGTTTTGTCAGCTATACTTTCATGTCAGTCCTGATAAACGTTTACAAATGTATCATTACTGGCAGTAAATTTCTACTACTGATAAAATTTCTACTACAGATAATAGTGTTTCTATATTTCTATAACTGACAATAGTGACAGTGCACGCTATCGTAGAATGAACAACACTGATAGGCAGATAGATGCAAGTCGATCTTTATTGTCAGTTATCTCATTGTCAGATTTTAAGGTGTTGCAGAAACAGCTGTGGTGGTCTCGGCCGAATCCTCTGCTTTATACTGCAACAAAAAATATTAAAACAAGGACAATTTAAAAACTTTATTGTATATTTCGCAAATGACATTAATGTGTTATAGTGCATTTTGGCTATGAAAAGTCCTGCGGGGTATTAAAAGTAATCACATTTCCTGCATTTTACTGATGTATTCTTTTACTAATGCATCTAGTTTGCCTCCATCCTTTAAAGAACTAATATGTATTGAAATGTTGGTTCTATAACCTTCAACAGGATTTAACATTTGACCGTTAAGTTTTTTTCTTCTTTACTGCTGAAGTTTTATTATCTGCTATATAGCCAAACTGCTTATCTGTCAAGGGTTGTAGTTCAAAATGAAAATAGAAAAGCATTTTTAGATAGACTGTGACACAGATGCAGTAAATAAACTAACAGAACTTTGACTCCGAAACAGAGCGACAGATAAAGATAGGTTTTACATTTACAAGCGGTGAGGAAAAGTGCTTCCCATACCTGTATGTCTATGTAATGTTCAATCCACTGAAGCAGTTCAGTTACTCTGCTGTAGACGCCTGGTTTATTAGGCCGTGCGCATCCCTCTCCCCAACTCACCACGCCTGCCAGCTTCCAATCCCCTTTAGATGTCTTACACACAAGTGGTCCACCACTGTCCCCCTTAAGAGAAAATCATTTCACAAACAAAATTTGTGAACATCAAATGGGAGAAACACAACTCTTGATAGATTGTAAAGTATATTGTAAACGTATATAGATTGTAAAATATATTTTATATTCTTCATGAACCTGTGCTAGGTTTGTGGAGAGGAGATTTCATCTCTGTGGGTGTGTACCTGGCAAGAGTCAACCCCTCCATCCATGCTCCCAGCGCAAATCATTCGAGGAGTTATGAAGAGACCATAGACACTCAAGTCGTAGCAGATGGATTGAGCTATTACCTTAACATGAGCCTGCCTTAACTCTTCTGACACATAGCCTGACAGAAAATGAAATGAAAAAATCAGCAGCAAAAAGTGAATGAAAATAAGTAGAAAGGGTTACTTGAAGGTGACTAGTGGAAATGTTACACAGTTCAAAAGATAATGAATGACAGGAAAAAGAAAAAAGACTTTGTTTTTATACTTAATATTTTTTTGTATCTAGTAATTAAGTCTAACGTCTTAGCTTCAATGAGGATACTGTACTGACAAATATGGCTCTTTAAAAAGTTTTTGCCCTACAGTTTCCAACTCTGAAACTATGATTGTGAGTTTTTGAAGCTATTTGAAGCTCCAACTTAAATTATACTTGCGTTATCAAATCACTTTCTTTTAGCTCAGTTGTTAAGATCACAAACTGTAGCAAAAGTATCTGTCTTTCAGTGCAGTGCACCTGTGTTTTCATTTATGTATCCCCAGCCTGTGATCCAGCAGTCTGATCCATCAGGAAAGGACTCGGTTGGACTGGGTAAACAGACCGGTCGGACCCCACCTACAAAGAGCAGCAGTAAAGTGATAAAGGTTAGCTCTCTCTCTCGTGGTTATGAAATCACATATTTCCTTTTTTCCCCCACCCACGTTTATGATTGTAATACATGTTTTTCTCTTGACTTAAAAGTAAGTTTCACTTCTGACGATTTGGATTTTGTTAGGTGTTTAGTTCGTTCTTTCTTTATTGTTTTAAGTTTTGGTAAAAATTAAATATTTGTTTTGGCAATATGACAGCGATTGCAATGATTAGTGCAGTGATGTAAGTGCTCCTAATCTCCCCCTCAAGCCCAAAAGGGATTACACTTCTTGAAATATTTAATCTGTCCTGACCTTAATCATAATAAAATTTAAATGTGCATCAAGTCACATTAAGTTCTTTTCATGAGTCAAATGTAAGTAAATACAGTTATAAAAAGAGACAGTGAAACCTTGTCGGTTTGTCTTGTGTGACATAAATCTGGCTAGTTTACATACATTCAACAAGTTACTAGACTCCAGCATTCATTCAGCGTAAAGAAAAACAAATGATGTGGTTTTCGTTGCCCTGATGAATGATAGCGCAATCCGTCTCTTACTTACTCGTCATGTCCATGTCAATTATGGTGCGCAGCAGTCCCACGTCATAGTCATTGTGCATAACCTTAAAGCCAGGGTGGTAGAGGATCTGCAGTGCCCTGTAGTGTTGCCCCAGAGAGTTGTGTGCAATGCTTACAGTGCCTGCCACAACCGTCCAGTCAGCTACTTGAAGCATGTTATTACTGCAGAAGAGTGACAGAAAAGTTAGTAGATAGAGTTCGGTTTAAGAAGCGGTGTGTGTGCCCACTAATTTTCACAGTTTTGTTTTTCAATGGTTTTTCATAATATCATACAACCTCCAGCATTATTACAATCACGGTTTAGGCCTCAGCCATCGCCAAATTACATGTATTTCTATTTTCACTTTAGCCTTGCAAACATTAGGAGCTGCTTTTGGTTTGTAGTTGTGCTCAAAAAATCCACACCCATTGCTCATAATCCAAGATGAACACTCACGGGGAACAGAGAGCTCCATCTGTGATGTGATCACATCACAGATGGAGCTCTGCTCTGCTGCAGAAGGTGCAAAAAGGTGCAAAAAGGTGCAAAAAGTTTTTACTTCACCCTTTACCTGCTTTTGACTTGAACATAACAGGAACACGGTGTTACCTCAGACTGAGCAGGTGGTCGTGACTACAGCCTTTGCTAACTGACTGTACCAGTAACTGAACTCGTAAACACTTCTTTCTTGTCATTCCTCGTGTCTCTCTTACTCAACAAAGCAGTGTGCTGCAGTGATCACCCAACGAGGAGAGATGATGGCACCACCACAGACGTGTCTTCCCCTCCACTGCATGCTGACTTGCCAGGCCCACTCGTTCTTTGTAGCTAAGGTTCCTCCAACAATACGCTGACCATTGCTGACCAGAACTGAGCAGTCTGGATATGAGATGAAGAACACGAAATCAAGCAAACAGACAATGAGTGCAAAAAATAAATAAATGCAAAAGCTCTTTTTGAAAAAAAAATAATAAGATGACCATAAAGGCGGTTTAATTAATTTTAAGAATATAAGGTGTTTAATGTGAGAAATTATTATGGTAATATTCTACTAAAACCTTTTCCATGAAAAGACTTAGAAAAGTACAGACATAACTGCCAGATGCTTGATGGATATGTAAGTAACATCTTTTGTTTGAGAGATGAGCAGTAAATTGGAGTGGCAGTGAAGATTGCCATCCTTGGAGCTTTGGAGACAAAATGCATTAGTTACTATGAAATTTAAATTCTTTACCTGCAGTCATATTTCCTGTCTGGTTCACTGGATTCTT